GTGTGACCGCAACACAACCCAGCACTTAAATGCTTGGGTTTTTAATACCAAAGAAAAAAAGACATGTACATAGAAACATGTTCAGACATATTCAAACAGACTTTATTTGCAGTCACCAAAAACTGAAGACAACTGATGGCCTTCATGATCAAATGGTAAAAGACTGGTACATACACTTTGGAATATTACTCAGCCATTAAAAGAGGCAGTCTGTTGATGTGTGGTTTAATTTGAATGAATCTCCAGAGAAGTGAGCCAAATGAAAGAAGCCAGTGCTGCCAGGGAGACAGCTCAGTGGCCCAAGTCTGGCAAGCACAAGGTACTGAATTCAATCCCTGGTTTAAAAAAAAAAAAGCCAGTGACAACATGTCACAACCAGATGTTTACATTTATGTAATATTCCTGAAATGACAAAGGTGTAGTGGTGGAGAGCAGATGAGTGGTTGCTAGGGCCTGAGGAGTAGGGTGGGAGGGCAGGAGGAAGTGGCTGCGCCTCTGCAGGGTGGCCACAGGGACTGTGGTGCTGGTGCGGATGTCCTGAGTCCTGCGAGCAACAGTCTTCTGGCTCTGGGCTGTGGCCAGAGTGTGTAGGATCTCACTGTTAAAATGCGTGTGAGTCTGCAGCTCTCTCAGAATGAAAAGGTTGATTTTTTTTTAAAGCAGCAAACTGCAAACACATATAGTGATTTGTGTGAGTCTCAGAAGCATTGTGTTGAGCGAAAGATGGACTCAAGGTAGCATATCTGGACAGACCTCAGACAAGTCCCCTGGGTGGGACAGGGGACAGAGGGCTTAGGTGGAAGCGCTGCGTTGTGACTGAGCGGGTGCGCTGCTGCTTCAGACCCCAGCAGGTTACATATGGGATGCTGGGGAAGTGTGCCATAGGGAGTGCCTTACTGAGCAACAGAAGCAGAACTCGTAGGGAGGGTGTAAGCCGAGCTACTAGAGCTGGCCTTCCCTGTTCTTTTGTCTTTTTACTTCTCTTACATCCCACCAGGTGGCATCGGCCAGCATCTTGCACAGTGGGCTCCTAGGGCGAAATGCTCCTCTAGTGCACCTCTCCTATTCTTGGCCGAAGTGCACGTGGTGATTACATAAAACCTGACTTTCATCTTCACTTCTATTTTCTCTTCCTCTACTAATAACTAAGGTTCACATTTTTAACTTTCATTGACTTAGGATGCTTTTTACTGTAAAAGCAAAGATCGTTGTACTTTTTGTAATTAACCTGTAGAATTTTTACTTCAACAGTTTATATAAGAATTAGGACCAGCCAGATAGCTCAACGGACTAATGCATCTGCTTAGGCAGAAGCAGCAGCTGGGGTTCGATTTCCGGTGTACGGTACCGGCCCCACCTCCAGGGCACGCTGGGACAGCCACTGAGACTGGGCATGGTGTGCGCCTGTAATCCTAGCGCTTGGGAGGCTGAACACTGGTGGGTCACTAGGAGTCCAGTCTACATAGTGAAACCCTATAGTCCCTGTAGATCCTGTACCAAATGCATTAAAAAAAAAAAAAAAAAAAGAATTAGCTGGCCTATAATATGGTCTACATTTTTCTACAGCAAAACTGGGTGTTCAGTTTCTAGTTGCTGCTGTGGCTGGCAGGCTCCTGTCTTCCCCAGGCACTCACTAG